ACCGGCATTATCTATGTTTTTGTTTACTGCTACTCTGAAATTTTTATAAACCTAGAAACGAATGTCTGTCTCTAACTCTAGGAAATAAAAAGAGAATGAGAATCCAAATTTTGGATTGCTGATTTGTATGGAATTTTGACAGCTATCTACGTCTAGGTAACGGCAGATTGACCTGAATGAAGCTCCAAGGGGTGAGGGACCTAACTTTTTTATTGCTTCTTCTCTGCTGTTTTTTGTATAATTGTAAAATCAAGTTCTCTCTCTAATTCTAGGCAATAAAAGAAGATAGCTAGAATTCCAAAGCTCCACATAGCTGATTATGCGAAGAGTTTTGATATCCCTCCAACTCCAGGAAATGGAAGAACGAATAGGAACAAAGCTATTCATAATAAAAGGGTGGGCGGATAATCCATAAACTGCATCAAAGCTCCTATTTAATGTTTGTTTCTATTGTAGAAAAAGAGAGAAAGTAGAAAGTGGTACAAATACTAGGAAAATCATTTGATGCGATTCTCAATCAGTGTATGAAATGGAAAATCAGGCAGGTGCATTTTGGCGCAGAGGCATGCTACAATGTAAAAAGCCCATCAAATACTTTGTTCGACAGGTACAATACACAGATACAAATACAGACCCAGACAAGGATTCCAAAAGCAAGGATATGACTCAGCTTTTCCCAAAATCTGGGACATGGACACAGGTACGAGTCTCCTACCCAACATGTTGGAACCATGGGACATGATACAAGAATACGATAGAATCATCTTAGGAAACTAACTCATACATACAGGTTAACTTAGAAAATAATTAATAATAAACTTACATTCAAAGGTCTAGATTTTGAAGGTAAATAAGAAAAAAATTAAAAGGAATCAACTAAGCTTCTCAATTTTCAGACTTCAATATTGAAGCTACAAAATTAAAAAGAATAGATACACAAATAATTATGATATGCATATGTACGTATGTATGTATGTATGTATGTATGTATGTATGTATGTATGTATGTATGCATGCATGCATGCATGGATGGATGAATATATGTATGTATGAATGAATGCATGCATGCATGTGTGCATCACCTGATTGTAATTCTCCATGAAAATGTGACCTAGCTAATAAACAAGATGCATCAAAAAGTAGGAACTCATCATCCTACTAAGTATAATAATATTATCTTATACACCAACCCTAACATTATCGAGGTCATTTTTTTATTTTACATATCATCCTTAATAGTATATATTACTGTGTAAAGGAAGGACATAAATTTCTTGACAAAATTCAAAGTATCAAGCAAGATACGTCTATATCATGTTTACAGCATGTTACCACTATCAATAGCAGTATCAGAACAGAACATCGATATTAATAACTTAGACATATAAAGGCATCTGTGCATCATAATGTGGGGTGCCATTTGAGCTACCTGCCCAAGTTTATGGATCAAGCAATATAAAAGTGCTGGTATCACTTTGCTCAAGTAATCTAGTTATTTTTTCATTTAATTGCAAAAGATAAGATATTAGAATGTTATTTTCATTTAGTCAATATCTGATCCTAAAAAAGTTTGCTCGGTCTTGGAATTTTATCAAAGAGAATGTAACTCTTTCTGTAGTTTTTTTTCATAATTTTCTATGATATTGCTTAGCTTATAAGGCTAAACTTAGAGAATTATCTTGCATCTTTAACTTTGTTCCTTTCTTGCATGGGTTGAATGCATGTGTGTGTGTGTGTGTGTTGAGATCGATATACATTTGTTAATCTATATACATGCCTTACCATCTTTAGGAAGGCTCTCACAAATAACAGTAGAAATTTCTTCATCTTCAGACCACACGTCATTAATCGCAGCAACAACGTTTCTCAAAACCTTCTCTGTGGATGCATGGGCTGTATTTAGATCACCTTTCTGATTAAATGAACCATTCGAGGAGCTACTCTCAGTAGCACCTGTTTGCTGGAGTCTGCCCAAAAAATCATCCTCAAGAGGACTTAATTCCCGAGCTGAATCTGCAGAATAGATTACAGTAGCATAAGCATGATAACACGAGATGAATCAATATTGCCCAGAAAAATGGGCATAAACATCTCATATAACTGATGAAGTAGTCCTAACATTAAATAATTATCAACATGAGTTACAAATAAGGAAGTCATAGAAAAGATAAAGAGGCAGTTTCTCAGCTCTGCAAATTACCCAGAAAAATTTTACACCAAGAAAAAAGCAACTATGCAAGAGTAAGGAAATTATCAATTAAACCTAGTAAGGACAGGTTAAACCTTGATAACTGCTTTAGGGCACAAATCCATTTGGCTAGAAACGAAGCTCTTCAGCACAATGGCAGACTCAAAAGACAGCTTCAATATAAAATAATAACAATATAACAAATAATATATATCTGATAAAAATAAAATATAATCTAAACATTTGAAAAAAATAAAAAATGAAGAACGTAGAAGCCACGCAAGTTAATGACCAATCAATCGTATTTATCTGCACAACATGTGTGCATATGTATACCCATACACCTAATGGTGCACTTTGACATAGAAACATATATAGGTGTTTATGTTTTATATGCAGATGCCCATGCAATGTGGTGGGTGCGGTCATGGTGCAGCACAAGTGACTATAGATAGATTGGTAGATATATGGATGGGTAGAGGGGGGAGGTGGGGAGGGAAGGGACGCAGGAGAGAGAGAGACAGAGAGAGAGAGATTTCGGGATAACTCACCATCCACTGCATGAGATATCTTCAATCCACGAGCACCTTTTCCACAACCAGTTATGCGAATTGATAATGATTCCAAATTGCTCACAAGCTGCAAAAACAATGTCGTCAATCTACGAAAAGGTTCAGCCACAACCAGTTAGGAATGGGCTCTAGGCTAAGTGGTCAAGATGGTGTCGCAACGTTATGTCTTGAGTTCCATTCCTACCACAGTTAAGGGACCCCATCCCCATTGAATTACTCAAAAAAATAAATAAATGTAAATGTTCAACACAAAATGAGCACCATAATAAGCCATCTAGTCAAATTGCAATTACCTTTTCCCAAGCCCTATTGACCACTTTCAATGTGCTATCATAATCATACTGCTGTTCTTTTAGTTGCCTGAATTTGTTCTCAAGGGCATCAAACTCGGATTTCTGAGCCTCTAATTGTTGAAACAGCTTTTGATTTTGGTATTGTAGAACAGCCGTATCAACCTAAAAACACAGTAATCATAAGGGTTGGAACAAATCACCAAATATCACAATCCAAAGACCATAAATATGGAGAGAGATTACTTAATAATGTAATTCCATTATAAGCAAATACAAGACATCAAATCAGTGACTAGATCTTTCTGTTTTTTCCCCCTTTTATCATAACTTTCTCTTTTATTTATTTCAATTCTAAAAAGCTACAAGGCCTGCTCACCCCGATTCATCTACTCTCATGCCTCAATCTCAGCCACTATTTTTTTACAGCCCTTCTCAATGAAGAAGAATGAGCCATTAAAAAATGAGGCACAACTACGCAAGAAAGGAACAATTAAAACAACATGACATGAAACCAGGCATGCTCTAAAGATGGACTGCCAAGATTAACTGAATACAGTTTAATGTCCTGGTGGCCCCTACTGCAGTCGATCTCCATTGTCCATCAATGGGAACAAATCGTGGATGTCACTTTGTTGAACCATATACCATGCACAATTTGGTGCATGGTATACTTTCCCTAGTACTTGTAATATACCACGTATCATCATCTCAACTCTCTCAAGGGGGTTGCAAGTAGTACTCAAATTCAGTCTTTTGAAACATATTCTCTTCTCAACGAACTAATTAAAATTGTGAGAAAATGAAATGCCAACAAAAAGAGCAATAACCATAGAGTGTTGAGCATATCCTATAGAGAAACAATTGAAACTAAAAGGGACACTGCCCCAAATAATGGAGAATAAACATATAAAAAACCTTATCAAAATATGAGAAAGTAGAAAATAATATTACAACAAATATCTCTTATAAATAATACAGATAACAACATCGGTGATGGAACATGCAATCAGAGTAACAGTAATAAAAAACTTGGGGAATCAAAAGTTTAAGAAAGCCCCAATCAGCGTTTTCAGGGTATTTAGCATCATCCATGTATATAGAGAGCCAAAATTATGTGGCTAATAATTTCGCTAATTTGGGTAGCCATCATAAGACTGACAGTCCACTTATCACTGAATTGCTCCCTTTTGATCCCCGAAAAATCATTTTTTCACGGAGTTAACGAATTAGTGGTTATGAAAAACAAAAAATTATAATGAATTTGCAACAAAACCCAGCCAAACAAATCCAGGAAAAAAATAAATTTACAAAAGTAGAGATACATAAAATGCATAGCATTTTCGCTGCAAAAGTGACCATGGAAGAACCAACGGTTAAATGCATAAGAAAACCATCATCAAACTTGAAGCCCAAAACACATAGAAAAAAGACTGGAATAAGAAAGAAAACAAGTAAACAAATAAGTAAAAAGCCTAGCTTTGTTTCTTTTTTGGGGAAACAAAAAAACTAACCCTGTTGAACCCAGAAACAATATCATTGTCGATGATCAAAACTAAAAAGCTTAAAAGTCAAATCAAGAACAATATAGTTACTGCCCTCAAAACAAACCAGAAATAAAATCGTAATAAAACCCAAAGGAATGAATATTTACATTAATTTCACATATTTTAACTAACATAAGGAAATGCAACAAGCTAAAACCAAATTAACAGATACACAGGTACTGTTTTATCCATAATCAGAAGCAAAGTCATATCAAAACCCCAACGCAAGAATATCAACATTAATTTCACATATTTAAATTAATTTTAGGCACTTCCCAATTCAAATAACACCGCATGCAATGAACTATCCTCCCAAGAGCTGGACATAGAGAGAAAAACCTCAAAAACTGAATCAAAACAACAATAAAGTATCTAGAGAGAGAGAGGGGGGGAAAGGAGCGACCTTTTTCTCTTCGGAAGGGGGAGGCAACGAGTGCTTCTTTGCAGAGGTAGGAGAGAGGGAGCTGAAGCTCCTGCGCTTGCGGTCAGGCTCTCCTGTGCTTCCCATGACAAGAAATGGCGACTTTTAGGGTTTCGGGAGTTTGGGGCTTTGCAGCCACATTAGGGCAACATGGGTCCCTAATGGTTTCCTGGAACGGTCATTGAAGGAGAGGAAAGAGGGAAGAGAGAGAGAGCAGGGGAGTTGGATTCCCAGAGTGCATTTTAAGGAGAGAGAGAGAGAGAGAGGTCATAAGAGGGAACGAGTCCTCTTATGAGACGGGGAGTCGGGTGGGTTAGAGAGAGAGATTTGCTCACGCACGTAGAGAGATAAAGAGAGAGATTCGAGATATTTGGTCCTGCTCGTAGAGAGAGAGAGAGTACTGTTCAAATGAAAAAGGAAAAAAAGGGAAATGAGAATTTAGGTAAAGAAATAGTATATATATAGAGCTCTCAGGCTCTAAATAATCGAGTTGGAGCCTACATCAAATATTTATTAAGAAGAGGTTATTTTGATATCCAAATATCTGATCATCTCAACATCAAGATAATTCAACATGAGAAAAAAATGGATTTGAAGTTTTGAAAATAGTGCATTTTGTAATGTATTTTTTTACCGTCAATTTTCAATATTTTAAAATTTTTATAGATATGTTGGATCTACACTGCTTTTTAAACTTCAAAATTTATAATAAAATATAAAAATATATTTTAAAGCTATCACAAATATTTTTAGCATTGAAACCATATTTTTCAATATTATTTAAAGGTATGCTCTACTTTGATTGTTTAAAGCATCAACTCTATACTAACCGATAGGGTACATAACATATTGTGTAGTATTGCTACAAAGAGGACAATCACTTTCAACCCTTAGACGTGAAATTAAACGGATGGGATGTACTTTTAAATGCCTTTGAAATTAAAAAGTAGGAATTCGTAAATTTGTTATGAGAATCATGCCCTGAAGTCACCTAACTTTATAGCAGGGTGCTTATAACTTCTATATCTACACTACATTATTAAGTCAGAATTAACGGGTAGACGAAAACTGACTTATAAGCATATACACTAGTTGAGAGTTCTTCGAGTATTTAAGGAGGGTTTTTTATGAGACCTGGAATCGGATATCTACACTTCATACTCACTTTGGGCTTTACTGCATGGAATCTAACTCAATCGCAGATGAACTTGCCAAGGATTCAATAATTAAGGATGTTTTTTTGCGAGGTTTGAACTTGACACTTGTTTCGTACATTCTATCTCAAAAGCGGACACACTCGCCAAGGAGGGCTCTCAATGTAATTTATGATGGTTTGTTAAGGTAGAAAAGAAATTCTCTACACTTCTTTCTTGAAGTGTTAATAGTGGGAATGGAACTTAAGATGTTATGTCGAGACACCTACCCCCTAACCATTGCGTTGACCCTATGTAAACTTGACGCGTGTTTATTATTTTTGTAGGGAGTTCACCTTAGAAGCAGATAGGCTCGCTAAGGAAGGTCTAAAAAGCCCTCATGTTACGCATTTTTTATATTATGCAGTCCCACGTAAATAAGTCAATATTGTTAAAACAAAAGAAAATAAAAATATTTTTATACTTGTGCATCATTTTTCTTTCCATATTAATTTAAAAAAAAAAGATATTACAATTCAAAAAGAAATTGATAAAAAAATGGATGTTAACTTTCAGAGGTAAAAATGGGAGAATATTGCAAAGGAAAGAAAAATAGAAATAATAAATAATTATAAGAGGGAAAGGGGGAGAGAAGATTGCATACTCTTTCTCATGCATAACAATAAAGTTTTATTTATTTTTTTAGCTTTGCACACACAAGTTGTGCGTTTTAGAGAGAAAGAAAGAGTGAGTGAGATGGTATGTGCTCTTGATTGTGAGGCTGTAACCTCTATATTAAAACAATAATCCAAATATATTTGAACTCTAGCTTATAAAAAAATAAATATATTTAAACCACAAAATCAAGACTAGTGAATCGGAACATGACTCGTCATTTCATTGTGATATGTTGAGAGCAGCGTTTTAAAAAACGCCGAGTCGAACCGGACTCGCCCGGTTCGACTCGGAATTCGCAAAAAGGGACCGGATCGGTTGAAAAATCGGAAATCGTCCGGTTCTAGAGAGAACCGGACGATTCCGCACAGTGACTCGCCGATTCACTGTACGGAATCGGCGAGTCCAAACAGTAAATCGGCGAGTCCATAAGGTTAATTTTTTTTTTTTTTTTTTTTTTTTTTTTTTTTTTTTTGTAATCCATGATAGATTTTTTTGTAATACTCGATCGATTTTTTTGTAATCCCTGATCGAATTGTTTTTGTTTTTTTGTAATCCATGATCGAATTTTTTGGTTTTTTGTAACCCATAATAGAATTTTTTGTAATCCATGATCGAAATGTTTGGT